GGCACCATTACTTGTGACAGCAGTTTTTTTTTGCCTCTTTTCCTTATCCTATTTTCCTTTCAGGCTGTTCCAAAGGTCAAGCGGTTATCAGCCTGCAAGGCTCCATCCAGAGGTTGCTGTAGAACATTAGATGAATAGCAATTAGCCTGGTTTTGTTGTTTTCTGACTCCTGAATGAGAAAGTGTAATTAAACTCATGTTTGTTATAGTAATTTATTTTGGAGTCTTTGTCTTTCTGTAAAATATAGGCTGTATAATTGTATTGGCATTAGTCTGATAACTTCTGAATTGAAAAGCTTGATGTTGATTTTCTTTTTCAGTAATTTTGAACGTCTCCTAAAATAAGCCATTTAATTCTTCATTGTTAAATACAATGTATTACAATTACAGCTATAACCTTTCATGCAACTTAGCTATTTGCAATATTTTTCAGCATTAACTATTTGACACCATTATTCATCAGTTTTAATGGTACAAGTTCAGTGGAAGGAATAATCGGTCTATTTGTGCTATATTTAATTGACTGGAGGCTTTGCTTGTAGCCTTGCCCTCAGCCTTGTAGTCTTATACCATCTAGTTGGATGAAAAAGCAGGTGACTGGGCTGGTTATTTGAGTCATTCATTTATTAAGAGTTCAGAATCTAATACTTTATACACTGCAGTCCATAAGTATTTGGACAGTGATACAATATTTGCTGTGTTGGCTCTGTACGCCAGCACGTTGGATTTTAAATAAAACCATAACTATGAGGTTAAAGTGCAGAATGTCAGCTTTAATTCGAGGGTATTTATGTCTATATAAGGTAAACCATATAGGAATCGCACCCCATTTTATACATAGTCCCCCCCATTTCATGGGACCAAAAGTAATTGGACAAATAAACATAATCTTAAGTAAAATTTGGCTTAATCTTAAGTAAAAATGGCAAAATCCTTTGCAATTGATGACTGCCTGAAGTCTGCGACCCATAGACATCACCAGACATTGGTGGGTATCTTGGGGAAAGGGTATCCCTCCTGGTGATGCTCTGCCAGGCCTGTAATTCAGTCATTTTTAGTTCCTGCTTGCTTCGGGGTTTTTTTGCTTTCAGTCTTGTCTTCAGAAAGTGAAATGCATGCTCAGTGGGATTCAGGTCAGGTGATTGACTTGGCCATTCAAAAACATTCCACTTTTTGGCCCTGAAAAACTCCATAGTTGCTTTAGCAGTATGTTTGGGGTCACTGTCCTGCTGCAAAGTGAAGCACCGTCCAAAGTGTTCTGAAGCATTTGGTTGGATCTGAGCAGATAAGATGCTTCTGTACATTTCAGAATTCATCCTGCTGCTGCCGTCTGCAGTCTCATCATCAATAAAGACAAGTGAGCCAGGTCCACTAGCCACTGGCAGCCATACATGCCCAAGCCAGGACACTACCTTCACCATGTTTCACAGATGAGGTGGTATGCTCTGGATCATGAGCAGTTCAATTTTTTCTCCATACTTTTCTCTTTCCATCGCTCTGGTATAGGTTAATCTTCGTCTCATCTGTCCATAAGGCTTTGTCCCAGAACTCTAGAGGCTTTTTTTGTGTACTTTTTTGCAAACTGTAACCTGGCCTTTCTGTATCCTTTCCTTCCAGTGGTTTGCATCTTGTGGTGAACCCTCTGAGATTAAGATGGTGTATTTTTTGGTAGACTTTGATACATCTATGCCTACATCCAGGAGAGTGTTACTGATCTGTTCAACAGTCGAAAAGGGGTTTTTCTTCACGATTGAAAGTATTGTTCGGTCATCCGCTACTGTGGTCTTCCGTGGTCTACCACGTTTTTTGCTATTGTTAAGCTTATCGGTGCGTTCTTTCTTCTTAACAATGTACCAAACAGTTGATTTTGTCAAACACCTAATGTTTTGTCAATGTCTCTGATTGATTTATTCAGATTTTTCAGCCTCATGATGGCCCACTTTAATGGCATTAACACTTCTTTGGTCCTTATGTTGAGAGACAACGGCAACAGACTCCAGATGCAAATGCCACATCTAGAATCAACTCTCGACCTTTTGTTAGCTGTCTTGTGCATGAACTAATGATGCAACAACATACAGCTGACCAAGAAACAACTGAGCAGCCATTTGTCCAATTACTTTTGGTCCCCTAAAATGGGAGTACTATGTGTAAAGAAGGCTGCAATTCCTATATGGTTCACCAAATGTAGATGTAAATACCCTCAAATTAAAGCTAACATTCTGCACTTTAACCTTATAGTCTTTGTTTGATTTCAAATCCAATGTGCTGGTATACAGAGTCAAAACAACAAAAATTGTGGCACTGTTCAAATACTTATGAACTGCACTGTATGTCCTTACTAAATCATTTTCAATATATCCTGTATGATCCGTCTATAATACCTTGATGCACTCAATGATCATTAATGCTATCCAAAAAATATTTAAACTCTCTGAGCGCTTTGGAGTGCACTAATAGTCAAATATCAGTCCTGACACTAGCTTAAGTATAAGCACATTCTGAAATAATAAAATATCCTAGAAAGTGCAAAAGACCATTCATTAAACTTCAAACTTGCAAGGTACACAAGGTAATATTTATGGACTATGTACACTTGGAGATAGGTCCAGAGCCTAAAACACTGCATCCCGTCTTTTCCACATGGTACCATTGACAAACCCTAATGTACACAGATACAAATCTTGATGTGGGAAAATAGACTGGTTTCAGAAAATAAATAATCCTCCACGGGGAAGTCTAATCTCTTAAACTAAATTAAAAAGAAATGGTACTAAAATTTAGAATTAGTCCTGTCAGTTTTCATAACCTCTTAAGTTTTGTTTTAAACAAGTAGTGAAGTTTTTATGCAGTGCAGGAACTCACTCACCTGTGTTTTTGCGACTTTACTCTACTGCAATATCCCTGTTTTGTGGTTCATCTTTTAAATTTGCTATTGGGCATAAGTTCAAGTTCAAGTTTGTCATTCCAGCCATATACAAGTATACAGAGGAGCGAGATATCATTCTCCAGGTCTACGGTAAGAATACAGTGACCTGGAGCACTGACAAGACAGTGCTATAGCCAATGTAGGCACAGACATTTCTGACAGGGTACAAGGTACGTAAAGTGCAATGTGCATAGTGCAATTTACTTTACAGGATTGTGCACAGAATACATCAGACAGTGTGCCTGACATTAGGCAAAAAAGAACTATGTTCCCAGATTTGTAGTAGGTGCAGTCGGTACCAGGAGCTTGTTGAGGACCCTAACAGCCTCTGGATAAAAGGTGTTGAATCTGGTTGAACTGGCACATATACTGTGATACCTTTTACCAGATGGTAGAAGGGCAAAGAGGTTGCAGGAGGGGTGGGAGGAATTATCCACAATACTGGAGGCTTTGTGTGTGCAGCGTTTGTGGTATATGTCCTGAATGGATGGAAGGGAGGCTCCAATGATGTTTCCTGCCGTATTGATAATTTGTTTCAGGGACTTACAATTCCCAAACCAAACAATGATGCAATTTGTCAAGATGCTCTCGATGGTACCTCTATAGAATGTGGATAGTATGGTGGGGGGAGAGGGGGAGGGAGGTTTGCCCTTCTCAGTTGCCGCAGGAAGTGGAGACATTGTTGTGCTTTTTTAGCTAGGGAGGTGGTGTTGATGGTCCAAGTGAGGTCATCTGTGATATGCACACCAAGAAACTTGCTGCGAGTTTGGTTGCTGCGATATGGAATTTCTGGTTCAGCAGTTATCAAGAATCCAGTGTCTCCACTCATGGTGGCAGTTTATCTGATTTTCCCAAGCTATGTAGATGCTGTCATTAGATCTAATCCCCCTCTGTCCATCAATAGGTCGATTCCATTAGGACAAATGTCTCTCCAAGGCGAGGGAGAAAAATAATCACCCTGCGCACCCATATAATGTACGATATTGGTACCAAAGAAGAGATGTAGCTGTGTAGCTCTACAGCACTATTTTAACACCTCTAATAATCTAGCAATTTAGTTGCCTCTTTTCACACCCTGTTAGTTCCTCAAATATTTTTAAGATTCTTCGAATTCTAACAATAGAATATCACAGCTGGAGAACTTCGGCAGCTCAAGCGAGTCACTCATTTGCAAATATTGGACTTAAAAGAATTGTACCTGATTCCAATTCAGAAATTGTGAGCAAAATGTTCATTTACATTATAGCACATACAAGGATAAAAATGAAGGTTTTTCAATTACCTTTGGTTTTTTTTTGTTTTAATTGCCTCCTTTGGTCACACTTCTGAACTTCAGAAAACAAGAAGGAATAAGTGGTAGGTTTCAAAATGTTCAGAGCAAATCAAATTGTAAACCTTGCACCCATCATGTTTTGTTCCCAAGATCCGTCTTGCTTTTTTTCAAATAAACCCTCCATGAACACGTTTGTAATTTGGGATTGATGGATGAGTCTAAGATTTCCTTTTTTCTGGGTTTTAGAAATGAATTGATGTGAAATCTTATAGATGTTTGGTTGAAAATTATCCAGTAGGTTTTAATACAGAACATTTTCTGGAACAATAAAGCACCCGTCTTTTGATGAATGAGACTGGCTGAACAGCCTTCCTTTATTTATGACATTTTCTTATAGATGTGAGCCAGATTGACCTGACATTGGCTTCAAATCACTGGATAGCAGATGTTTGTGCTGTACCTGTACTGTGGGTGAAATTAAAGATTAATGTTCTACTTGTATTACAATTTTGATAATCTGAAAGAGTTCAAATATTTTTAGATAGTCATATATTAATTTAAAGTTCTGAAGTGTCTTTTACTCATGTACGATGTGTAACCTAGCAACACAATAGCAAAGCCAGAGTAACTGGTAAAAGAAAACTGCCAGTGGGACTGCCATCAAATATTAGTCTCATAATGAAAGCTTAGGCAGTCATTAAGTTGTGAAATGTATCACATATTTATATTTATTATATGTATCTCTGTTAATGTGTAAAATGTTATTTTCTTTATAATTCCTTAAAATTTAATTTTTCAGGGGCAACTATCCATACTTCAGGAGAAGATTGACCATTTGGAGAGATTGCTGGCAGAAAACAATGAAATTATCTCCAACATCAGGGACTCTATCCTCAGTCTGAGTGAAACTGTAAAGGATGGCAAGGTTAATCCTGATTCAATGAATGTGAGCAGAGCTGCTTTTCCAGAGCTACTTGCATCTCCCCCTCTGGTGATTCCTGTGGAAACAGAGGACTGTCAGTTTGCAGTCAGGCCGTATTCTAAGGCCTCTGATGATGTACAGGTAAGGCAATGTCTTGGAGTTGGTATCTTTTAAGTGTTACTGTGTATTTACGCATGTACTGTATGAGACATCAACCTTCAAAGTACAATCTCACCATCTCACCTCGGAATGTTTGCTAATTTACACATTTTTGGAAATGGAATCAGAGGTGTGAAGATGTGTAATGTAAAATTCCTTAGCAAGTGAATGAATACAACATAATTTTTTTTTCCCAAGAGTAAGAGTAAGTTACTATGGACATTGGAAAAACAGTTTACTCTGTATAAAGTCATATTTGTACTTTATATTAATTAGTATTGAAGACTGTAATATAAAATTGTGGGGGACATTATATTTTATTTTCTTAATAAGTGCCAGTATTTTTCCCTCTTGTATTCCATTTTGATGACCATGTGTTATTGGTACAGAACTGAGTGATGTCTTTTAAGTTTGACACTGGTGAATCCAGCTGGACTAAACTTGGAAGTTTTTAGATGGACTGAAAAAAAACTGTTGCATACTAAGACATTTTCCAGATTTTAATCCATGTAGTTATGAAATACTGTGTACTACATTGTGAAAAGTACAATAATGAAATGATATGGGATTTGAAAATAAGAGGAAACTGAGATAGCCATATTTATATTATTTATGTAAATAGCCATAAAAGTTAATCATTCAGAAGAGGGGTGTGAAGCTCAAAGTTTTAAGCCTTTAAAATGTAAAATGACATCAGGCTGGTGTGAAATATGACTGTTGGGAACAACAGCCTTGTGAAGTAATGCATTATTAGAAGTTACAACAGCACAGTGTTCTTTATGTTTGGGGAAGAAAACCAGACCATGCTATGTGCAAGCTGTGTCATACCAAGATAAAATATTTTGGGAATACAACAATCATTTGAAATCACATGTCACGTTTCCATCCGGACTTGGAAGAAAAACGGCTTGTTCTTGTTGCTGCCGAACAGAAAACCCTCAAGCAAGTGTCAGAGCTTCCACATAGATATTGCTGCAGATATTTGCTTCGCCCTTTCCGAACTATCTATAGCAAGTTTTATCGCAAAAGTTTTGCGCCCCTATACCGTTGTTGAAAACCCGGGCTTTTGCTTAATGTTGCAAACATGGTAGTCAAGGTACTACATACTATCGCTGTGTCACTTTAGTGAAACAGCAAAACCAACGCTCTACAATGACACCAAAACTCAAGTTTTAGAATCATTAGGCAATAACCTATGATCTGTGGACAAAATCCTATATCACTATTATGTGCACTACATCACCGATGAATGGCAGCTCGTGTCTCGCGTACTCCAGTCACACAGTAAGAAAAACAATCATCATGTATAGAAAAAAAATCTAGATGCATTGAGAATCGATTTATAATCGCATTGTGGCACCCTGAATTGAAATCGAAACCTGAGGTTCCTAGAGATTCCCAACCCCAATTGATCAGTGCACCATACTTGCTGTTATCTGAAAACATTGAATCAATATCTAAAATCTGTCTGCTTTTACTTTTTGTAAAAGGCTATCTGAAGCTCATATACAGTACCTTCTGAATTTATTTTACACCATTGATGAAATAGGAACATCAAATAAATATCAAATAACAGAAAGATTTACAGGATAGTTGAAATTTCTTGCTTAAATTAATCAGGCAATAAATGTAAGTAATCTTAATATCATTGCACTGAACAAAGTCATTTTTATCATAATTAATCCAGTGCATAGACTCTGGCTCCCCTGCAGATCTAAATCGGATGAAGCAGACAATGGATGGAGTACTTTCAGTACAGAAAAAAAGTGTCACGTTTATTCCCACCCTGTAGTTTATATTTTGTTAAACCTTCTTTGAAATAGATAACACTGCCTTTCCATGTAGAAGGTGGAATGCTCTTAGTTCTTTAGACACTTAGGTTTTTGTTGGTGAACTAACATCCTGCCTTGGATCACTAATGTTCAGTTAAACTGAGGTCTGTAGATATAGAGATGGCTAGTTGAAAACATTTATTTTATGTAGAGTTAATCATTCCTTTGTTAATTTGTGTGAATGTTTTGGATCGTTGTCCTGTTGGAATGTCTGTTTTTGGCCAATCTTAAAATTTTTGGAGAAACAAATGCCCTAGTAAATGTTGGAGTTCATAATTTCCCCCATCTCGTCATGGGTGCCAAGATGCATAGATGAAAAACAACTCCAAAACACAATGTAAGCCTCCCAGTATTTCGTAAAGAGCAGAGTGTTTTCTAAACAACACCAAACATAAAGTTAATGAGCAAGTGCATAAAGCTCAATTAACTTTGCAGTTGACCTTGTTGGAATTAACATTCAAATGATATTTGGCAAGTTTGAGTCACCTTTGTTTCTGGTTCGGGCTCAGAAGAGGCTTCTTCCTTGCAGCCCAGCTGTGAATGCCACATTAATGCAGGTGACTTTGAATGCTAGATTTCATTGTATTGTCAGAATCATTTATTGTATTGTTAGAAACAGCATTTGGCTGTTGCCTCTCAGAAAATGTATTTCTCAACCCATGGTGGCGAGATACACTCGTGCCCTTTTCCTGGCAGGGTGCCCACTGTAGCCTTAATTTTATTAAAATGGGCACTACTTTATTAAAATGGGCACTACACTAGAAAGTGCTGAATTCAGCTTTTTGTATCTTTCATATCCATCTCCCAACTTGTGGAGGTCAAGGACCATTTGCTTACTGAATTTGCTGTGAAGAGCTCCGTGACCTTAACCATGATGATGCATACTATACTACCACTGAATGTTTTCTGTTGATTACCTCCTTTTGTACCCCAGGGAAACAGGAAAACATCAGAAGCCTCTATATAATTCTGGAAACTTACATAGAGCAGTATGTTGTATTTGTCCTGTTTATATTTATTTAAAGGAATGCTTAAAGGTTTCAGTGCATCCCTCTTTTTCTGGAATTCAGTTATCACAAATATGACTTTGATATGTACTTTATTATGATTACAGTATAACCTTAAGAATTTTTAAGTGAGATGCATTATCCAATCTACAGTATAACACATTATGCAATATGGTTTTTGTTGCCATTTTATTGGGAATCTGAATAAATTTGGAGGGCAGTTTTTAATATAAAAGTTAAATATGTATTTAAATACCAGATAGTTACATATTTTGGAAAAATGCTCTTCATTGTATTATAATGCATTATTGATTTTTGTTTTTAATGCTTTATTTTTTATATTTTATCGTTCAACCAATTTACGAGGTCCTGTCAGTTAAAATGACACAACTTTATTTAACCCCTACCAACTCCAGTTTCATATTTTTAGATTATTATATTTTTATGAGAAATTTAATTTGCATTAGCCAAAATTATCAAAGGGCAGCTTCATGGCCCACTGGTTAGCATTGCTGCTTTTCAGTGCTGTGGTCCTGGAATCAATTCTGCACCTTGGGTGCTATCTGCTTGGAATTTGTATGTTTGTGTGAGTTTCCTCAGGTGGCTCAGTACAAAGACATACTGGTAGGTTAATTGGCTTCTGGTCTGAGTGTTTTTGTTTGTGCCCTGTGATGGACTGAGATCCAGGGTATATCCTTCCTTGCACCCAAGTCCCTCATGACCCTGTATTGGGCAAAGTGATAGGAAAATGGGTTGGTAGAAAATTACCTGACCTTGGTTCCTTTTCCCCTTGTTCTGTTTCATCTAGAATATTTTTAAATAAATCAAGATTACTTTTAATGTTCAGCGGGCCATATTGGCCTGTAAGACAATTACCTCTTTTGCTAGGCTAAGGAGAGACTATCTTGCTATGGCAACAATCATGTGATAACATGGAAAATGCCAAATTACTCATTTGATTTGAAGGGTAATTGTAGTAATATTTTTTATATTTTTACTGATTCCAGGCCTCTTTCCTGTAATCCAATTGCTGTCACACGTTCATCATTATACCAGTAAATGTGAGGTAATCCTCAAAGACATTATTTGCTTATCTTTGATTTATGTAATGGGCTTTTTGCATCATTTTACATCCATTGTGATTCAATTTTATATTGTTAATGTGAAGCAAAGACTGAACAATACATGCTATAGTGCCAACAGCACAACTGAAGGTGTTAAGACGAGATATCCTTGTATGAATTCTGGTATGTCTGCAGAGAGAACAAATGGTTAGAGATTTGTCTTTAATAATTTATTGCATTTATATAGTAGTTTTCATCCCAAAGGATGCACTTTACATATAGAAGTGCTCCCACTCCTACTTAATTCATCACTAAAGTGCAGTGCCCACCTGGGTGAAGAATGGCAGCTATTATCTTCAGCAGCCTCCCTGTATGGCAGATTCAATAGAGAACTGAATCACAGTAATGTGAGGGTTTTATTTTACTGTAACAATCAGAAATTTGTAACAGCAAATTGCGAGAGTACCTGACGACTTTTAGGAATCAATCAGACATAATAATTTACAGTGTCACACATGCTTTTCTAAATATACAATATATAGTTTATTGATATGATACCAAAAACATGCAAACACATTAATAGAATATATTTGGGAAACAATCTACTGTGATATAAAAAGCTAATCGTTCCTTCAGGGATTATAAGGGGAAGAGTTAATAACTTCAGAGTTAAAATACAAAGTTAAATGCCACAACATGCAATATGGTCTACCCCATATCAGTTTTATCAGTCTCCTATAATTACATCACATTCATATTATCAGATACAAATAAATATGTGTTTAATATAATGAACTAAAAATCAAACTCGTATGGAATAATATTTCAGAATTATAATCTGAATAACAAAGTTTTGAACTCAAAGATCTGCTGGCCAGACATCCTTGTTGGGTTCAAACTACTGCTGTGAAGACAGAGCTGGGCAGGATTAGTGCATGGTCCAACTTGGCAGCTGTTTGTTCTGTGCAGGGAGTTACTGGGCAGCTCTACCGGAAGTTAGTGTGGCTGAATTTATGTCTTTAAAGGCAGTCTGTCCACAGTTGTCTTCTTGTTTATGGCCTCAAGGTAGACAGCTGGGAAAATTTGCTGCGTCCCGATTATGGCTTGATGCTGAATATGCATGGATATTCAGGATGATGCGAAAACGAATCCAAATGTTTCATTGATCAGATGAAAAGAACAGTGGGTTCATGAACACAAGAATATCTTGAACAGAATTTTGCTTTTTACTGACTCACTCTCTGGGACAGGCATCCTAGAGAAAGGTTGGGACTACTGACTGGGACTACATGCGATTGGGGAAAAGTCAGATTGCTAGTTCAGTTGGAGATGGAACCAGTGAGTTAAATGACAATAAATAAGTTGGGTGCAAGCTTTTAGGGTGCGGTATCACAGCTGCTGATTGGTTGAGATGCTGTCAGGTATGTCTGGTACCCACCCTGCAGATCCCTCCGTGGTGGATCTCGTTTTAGATTATGTACAGTGACCTTGGACCCGTGGTCGTCAGAAGAAACAAGACTACAGGCTCAATGGAGCCCATCTACGCTATTCATAATTAGATGGTTCACCACTGAATACAGCTTTACGATGCCTCTTATCAGAGGGGCCTCTCAAACACATTCCTCTGTAATTACACATAGGCCCAGGCTGGGTTTAAGGACCCTACTCTTACTGTTAGTGCCATGGGATCTTTAATGACCTAGCAGTCAAGACCTTGATTTCAAGTGTAAACAGAAGAATGACACTTCCTGGGAATTCTAATGCAGAATGAAAGGTGCACAATATGAGAACAAAAATTAATCACAACATAATTCCTTGCAAATGAGTCTGAGTGCTGCTGTTTTGTTTCTAGCAGAGAAACTGACCCATGCAATACAGAGCACCTCTATTACGGTATTTAATAAATTGTTACATACCCTTTTGAACAATAAAGCAATCAAAGATCAAAGGGAATGAATCCTACCAATATTAAATTTTACTTGCCAATATTAATTTCACTTACTGTATATGAAAAATCAAGTCATCTTGAGACATCCTCATCTCTAAGGCCTATTAAAATATACATAGTAAAGTAAGACCGTTTAGGTTTTTAACATAGTTGCTGTTAGCACATGTGAAGAATACATCCTGTTAATTTTATATGAATGTCATTTGCATCTCCATGTTGCAGTCCTGTGTCAGAAGTGGAAAGATGGAGGGTCTGACTGAAAGTGAGAAGTGTTCAGTGGACGAATCCTTCATATGGAACATTTACAAGCATGAAAAACAATGTGCCTGAGCATCTTGGTGATTGAGGAACCATGCAGTGAGAATTTAATTTTAAGGCTCTCCCATTTTTCTTTCAGATGCTGGATGTCTACAGCCTGCTTCCCTTTGACAACCCTGATGGAGGAGTTTGGAAACAAGGCTTTGACATCTCTTACGATGAGCACGAGTGGGATAATGAGCCTCTGCAGGTGTTTGTTGTTCCCCATTCACATAATGACCCTGGTAAGAAGTGATCTTGAGGTTATAGCTTTAATTAATTTCTTTCCAGCAGTGCACCTTAAGCGAAGCCCAGGTTAAAGAGATTGTTTCCCCATTGTGTGAGGGTGTTATATACACATGCCAAGGTAATTATTCAAAAGGATGGAGGTTTTGTTACTCTACAAAATACAGCAAATTATACAGAAGTACAACAAATACAACAACTACAGAAAAGAAACATTTTTAAATCTTACTTTCAGGTATTTTATGTAGATTCATGGCTGGAAACATTTACTTTAAGGAGAACTGAAAATGAGTACTAGATTGGGAAATCTCAATACATGACATACTTTTGTATTTTTATTCATCTATAGGTATGGTTAATTCTTAAGAAAAATTATAAGAGGTGCATACTTTTAATTTTTTATGTGACCAATTGCAATATTTTGTCAAAGTGGGAAAAAAGACTTAAAAGTTCAGAGATCTATTTTGTGCATTATAAGTGTAAGACTGAAAAACAGCCTTAGTGATGTGAGCTGCACAAATTAATAGATGTCATCAAACAGATTCATTTTGTGGGGCACTATAGAAACAATTCAACAATTGATACCACTGTAGATATTGTTGTAGAACGTGTACTGTCCTGGTAACTGGCTACACATTTGTGTCATATTATATTCTACATGGATTAGATGATTTTTATAGAAACACTCTTTCATTGTCTGTAGAAGCATTGCTCTTCATGACTGATTCTCTGTGTAAGAGACAGAAAGCAAGGCTTGCATTTTAACAGTGAAAAGTGAGCTTTTGTCATCATTAGAAAAACACTGTTCAGTCTGTTTGTATTGTCTACAAATAAATTAAAGTAATGAAGAGGAGCACTGGTTAACTTATTATTAGTACTGCACATGCGGCTGCTAAAATAACTGCAGAGGTTTAATACATTTCTGTAGCATGTGTTGAAGACAAGTTAACATTGCCCACACAAACAACAGAAAAGTACAATTAGAATAACTTAGTTCTTGGCCTTAGGTTATAATGAACTTTTCTAAGACTTAATGAATCTTTGTTTTGAAATGAACTGGCAGTTAAAAGTGCTTACATTTTCAGACATGTTGATTGTTTTGAATCTTGAGATAGATGAACTAGCCTCTGACCCAAACATTATTTGTTAACACAAAAACGTGTTAATTTTTTCATAATGTGGCAGTTTTAAAGTAATTCCTTTAACTGCTTTAGTTTTTTATTAATATTTGTGTAGAATAAAGTGGTTAGAAAATGAATATCGACAGAGGCAAGACGGATTCTTCTCCATGACTGACTACACAGTTAGCTCAATATCCTAAGCTCTCATCTGTAAGACCCCAAGTTTTACTTCTGTCAGATTCCTAATACCGATTTTATCTTGCTTGCTGTGAGGATTCTTTTTATATCTGAAATAAGGGGAAGCATCAGTTTTGTTAATGTAAAAAGCAAACATTGGTTTACCAATAAAAGGTTTCTAAAACTTTTAACAATCTCAACAAAAGCCTAATTTAGACAGCCAACGTCTCTGTAGCTGAGACAGAATCCCATCTCCTTTTTATCAGAATCCCTGAAGGAAATGGCTGGGAGAATAAGCCATTTCCGTTTATAAAGATTGAATCCACTATCTAGAAGATAAGTAGAATGGGATGTTGGTAAAAGTCAGATTCTGCAGGTTTGCCATCCTTAAAGAATTAACTACATGTATTTTGTATGAAGTACAAACATAAAACACCGTTGGGTTGAGCCATATATGACCAGTGCAGCATTGTCCAGTCATTCTAAATGTTGAATCTTAAACTGTAATTAATGTGAAATATTATTTGGAGGGATACATTTTGAAAGACATCATAGTTATAAATCCTGTGCCCTTTTTTCCAACAATAGAATTTTCTTGGCAATTGTATACTGCACAAAGCTGTGAAATACAAGAAGGCTGTTTCCACTTGTTAAGCTTGTATCATCAAATGTGAACAGGTTTTCTTCTTTTGCAAAGTTGGTCTTAATGTGACATATTTTCCACTGGAATTCAGAAGTATTGTCATTCCATACATTTAGAAATGGTTGAGTTGCCCGACTCATTTTTTTGTTTTATAATTTGTGTTGTTTTCTGTATGGCTTCTTAGGATTTCTGGCGGATTTTTATAGATTGCTAAAACTTAGAGACAAAAAGCCATCTTTTTTTATTTTGTCTATCCCTGAAATGTGAGCAGCTGAAGTTGTGTATACCTATTTTTAATGTGTTCTTTATAGAAAAAATAAAATGATACGTGATGCATGTTTTGTCCTTCTCGAAAGGTGTTGTTCCAGTTTTTAGGCAAGCTGGAGTTTGTTCTTCCATGCAGGCATACTACAGAAGCATATTCCTGGGCATTTTGTTTCAAGAAATTGAATACATTCTTACTTGAAGGAAAGCTCATGCATGATAACCTTTCACTTGAACAGGTAGAGTCCGATTCATTTAATCACGTTTGAATAAGACTTATATCCTAAACGCACCCACACATTTCTACTACATTTAATTTTACTATATGAGTTAAAATTATATTTTATCTGGATATGGTTGGAATGTCAAAAACCCTGTGCCTCTTTCCAAAGCGTTGTCCATTCATTGCCGGAGGGTAAAGGACTACAAAAACTACGGTATAAATGCAGTTTTGATTTATGCCTTCACCATCTTTTGAAGCACCAAAGTGGAGATTCTCTTCCAATTCCCTAGGCAGAGAAATACAATTCTTAGAATTTCTCACTTGGACACCATGTACCATTTCTTGTTAAATTATTATGCTAATGTATGTCCTTTAGTGGGTGAAGCTGGTTACCAGTGACAAACTTTCCAGTGCTGTTTGGAGAAAAAAGGGGATAGATTACGATTAGTTGATGGCGATCTTTCTTGGGATTGTAAAGCTGTTTACAAGATATGGAGCTTCTGTAGACATGTAATTTTCTTTGAGGGATTAGCTTTAGAAAAAGAAAGGCACAATTCAGAGAAGATGCTGTTTGTCACCAAAATGGAGGATTTTTTATGGAAAGTATTGAAGCTTTATAACTGTTCTCAAAATTAATTTGCACGTGCTTTACAGTTAAACACATTCAGTGGTTACCAAGGCTGTTTTAAAAGTTAACAGTACAGTACTGATATAAGTCTTTTAGGTAGCTATTTTAGCTTTGACTTACAGTTTACAATTGAAAGCCACATTTAGAAAAAAAAAAGTTTGACCTCTGTGAAAACTTTATATTGCCCCTCATCTTGTGAAATGGCATACTTTTTGGCATAATTGGTAGCACAGTTAATAATCATTGTTGATTGTTTTTCATTGGTTATATGTAAGGATAAACGAATTGTTTCATAAAACAGTTTTAGTCTGTTCCTGATCAGTCATGTTTGAGTAAAGTGTAAAGATGACTCCAGGGATGAGTGAAAATGAGAGCTGTTATATGGTACTGGTCATGTGGAAGAGGCACCAGATGATGTTTAGTTTGAAAATATTCATTTACTGAGTTTCTTAGCCTTAACATGTGACCATCACACACAGACCTTAAGTTATTTATGTTCATCTTGGGTATAAGTAATTTCCCAGTTAAGAAATTGTACTTAATGTTTTTTGTGTGTTTCACCACTAACATACTGCAAAGGGTAAAATAGGAGTTAATATCTCTTATTAATCGTCTTATAAGATTTATCCCACATGTAAAATATAAGTAACACACTTCTTTGTTGTACCTGCTTCTGAAGTATAACAGACTCTTCCTCAGGATTCAAATGGTAAAGAAAAAATGAGTTAGAAATATAAGTAAAGAATATGAAGTACACAGTATATATGATGTGGTATAACTGTTAAAAATGTGCTTTATTGGTAACTTGTTTATATGCTTCCTTTTGTAGCTCATGGGCACTGAGTGGTTACACACATATTTAAACTACTCTGCAAATAAATAATACATATAATTTTGAACTTCATTGATTAATTGCCTATTATGATAAAACTATAGGTTTTAGTCATAATTACTGATCTGGCTGTTGTTACACTGTAGAGGTTATTTAATGACAATGGAAAAACTGGTGATAACTTTAATAAGGCATTCAATGTAGCAGAATAGGCCAACACATACATTTAGGATAATAAAAACTTAAAATTATTAGCTGTATTAACTCCATTTGTCTTTCATTATTTTATTAATATTTGTCAATAAGATATAAGAGAAGGTCATGGCTAAATGTGAATTTTCAATTTTACAGTTGTACAAAATCTCTTTTAGCTTTAAAAACTGCATCCCTAAAGTTGATAGATTATGAAATCAAAAATGTGAGGTACAGTAAGATATTGTTTTGAAAAAAGATTGAATTATGGATGAATTCTAGACATGAGTTGAAATGGACTTAACCTTATAGTTCAGACACCCCTTCTTCTAGACTGGGCTGCATCATGACCTGATTGTCTTGAGTCTGCAGGAGGTGCCGAGCTACCCAGGTGCTGCCAGGGCTGGGGCTGTGACTTGATGCCTGGGATTTTGACTCACAACGGGAGTAAGAAGCTCTGGCAGTGCACATTTCAGAGGCAATAATTCATGTTCCTGATCTGCTGCCTGTGGCTGTATGTGGGTTGTGGCCAAGTTGAACAGCAGGTGGAAATTCAAATTGGCCAATTATCAAATAAAGTAATTCGTGATTTTTTTTTTAAATTAAGCTATATTGACTTAGTTTTATGTAAAAAAATGATCAAATTGGGAAAGAGTAACATTTATGTTGAAAATAGCGTTGTAGAATATTTTGAAGTAAAATGTTAGCACTGTTGATTAACATCCCATTTATTATATGAAATACTAATTTGAAACAAGTGTGTAATAACATTTTCTAGGTGCATGACACTCTTGAAAAAATCAGTTCTTGTAAAAACAATTCTAGCTACAAATATTACTTTCTTCAACCAAACTGAGACCCTAAAAACCTTGTTGATGGAATTAGATGCACAGTACTAACATCCTGCTACAGGATGTAT